GACCATATTTCTGCTTAAGAGTTTTAAAATTGCAATTACCAATTAGGTCTACGTTCAATTTAATAACAGCTGACGCCAGGTTTTGTTTCTGTTTGATTCCTATGGTCAACTTAATTATTAGGCTGAGTTAATCTTCTCTACTTTAATTTTAATTAATCTCTACCAATTTGAAACTCAAATATATGTAAGTGTAAGATCGAAAACTAACGATTATTGCGATTTAAATAATATTAGAATTAGAATTATGTATTCTGATTTTAAAACGATACATATTAAACATAAATTTAGCGAGTGTGGAATTTAAATAAAAATAATTTTTGCTTAAAAATATAGTTGGAATATTTTATTTTAGACGTTTTTAAATCATGCAAATTAACCGCAGATTTAAATGTCAGAAAGAATCGCAAATGCAGATAAAATTCTAAAATGCATACTTAAATCATGCAGAGATACACATCTGCTAAACAAATGGGTACTATGTGCATTTTGGATGATTCTGATATGCATAATTTCAGTTTGATAAGAGAAAAAAAATAAAATTGAATTAACCCATGAGGTTCGAGTGAAAGTATGCAAGCAAATTAAATGATAAAACAACGAAGCCATCAATCACGGAGACAAAAATCATTTTTGAAATTACTTTTTCCGTGATTGATAGCAAAATTCATTAAAATATTCATGTTTTCTGGTCAAAGGATACTGCAATATTTTTAAACATAAGTACGGGGACATTAACAAGAATTTGTCATTTGCATGGAGATAATGACAGTGATATTGCACGCATATGACAGTTTGATCGGCGTTCTATATCTTTGGAGTTCGGTGCAGTACTAATCAGAAATTCCGCATTTACCAAAATCAAACGATAAAAATGCAATTCAGTGATAAATAAAAAATATGTAAAGATTTCGGATTAAAATCTCTGATGTGATTAGAAGTGCTGCTCCTATTTTAACAATTCGATTTTTTTGATTAGTTGATTTATTCAAATGCCAACGAATAAGATTTGTTCGAACGAATCGAATAATTCGAATTATTCATTGGAAAACGAATAAGGAATTATTCGTGTAAAAAGTGATGGTGGTTATTTGGTCTTAAGTGAAAATTAAAAAATGAAGATGTTTAAAAGTAATCTTTAAAAAATAAAATGGTCGAGTAACATAAAATAATATTATCAATAAAAGTTATGTATTAAAATAGTCTACAATTGACAATAAATTATTAGGATGTCTTTGCTATTAGGTTTATTCTTTACAGACAATTATAAAATATTTTCAAATTCGTTTTTTTACAAAAATTCGTACCCAAAAAACTCATGTTTTCCGTATACGCACCAATTTCCACATAATAAAATTATAGTAAATATACCACAAAAATATAAACCTTTTTTATTTTTATTTTACCATTAAATCTTTTTCAAATATTGAATTTTTCACCGGAATATAATTTTTAGAAATATTTTTAAAAAATAATTTAACGAATTCTGTAAACATTACGTATACGCACTTAATTTAGTTAAATTAAATTAAAAAAAAACAAAAATATAACACCAAAAATATTATTTTTTTAATTCTTATTCTTATTATATCTAGTTAAGTTATCCTTTTAATTTTTTAGATTACATTATTTTAAAAGTAGTTCTAATAATTTAATATGCATTTCACATATAACGTGTATGTACTATATTTCATTTCAATCAATTTTAAATTTAATTTTAAATCTAAAATATTTATTTATTATAATTAATTTGGATTAAGCATTAAAGTTAATAGTTAATAAAACTTTTAAAATTAATATTCTGAAAATGTTAATTCCTTAATAACATTTCATGATGAATCCACATCAGAAATAAAATTTAATCAATGCTTTATATTGATATCAAATTCTCAAAATTCCATGGATCGGTACTTCCTACTTAAAGTATTTAAAATTATTTTCCGAGATATAAATACAATATTTTTGTTTTAAAAAAGAAGTACATAAAAAAAATATAAGATTGTTTTCGTTAGAAGTTGTGAGTAAGAACGTTTCTTTCTAAGTTATATATAATTAACTTAACTTAGATATAATTAACTGCATTAAAACTAAGGAATTTTGGGCAGAAATTAATAACAAAAGATCAGGGGAACTAATCAACCTATCCCGAGCAAATTTATCTAATTTCACATAAATTGGTAAACATATCACCTTCTGATATGTTTAATGTGTCAACCATCTCATTTTTGTCTTCCGAAACAAATGCCTATTTTGAACGAACAGAGTTTTAATTGTTATCCGTGTTTGTATGTATGTTGATCCTTTTTTCGAGTCAGCCCAACCGGACACTTTTACTCTTCGATAGCTGGGGGTACTACAGGGTCCCACCCATCTCATTGATTAATTTATGTATTCCTTATAAGCTTCATGATTATTCAGTGATTGATTTAAGATCTGCGTACCTCCCCGTGCGGAGAGTATCTAAGATTAGATAGTGGTAAGTAGGATAGCATGTCAATTTTCGTATATAACTTCAGGGCTCTGTCCCTTATGTATTTTTTGATCGGGTCTATTCTAACATCTTTTAGCATGTCGTTTGTGTGGATGTACCATGGCACTTTGAAGAGCCTTCGGAGAACCTGACTTTGAGCGACTTGCAGCTTTTGTATAGTAGAGTCGGCAGCTTTGCTATACGCGACACACCCATAAAGTAATGCTGGTCTAATTATCTGGCTATTGATCAGTTTTCTGTTCTTCACGCTAAAGTTGTTGTGTTTGAAAAGTGGTTGTAAGCATTGTAGTGTTTTAGCGTAATTCCTTCTTTTGACTTGTATATGCTTATGCCAAGTGAATCGCTTATCAAACGGGATGCCTAAGTATTCACGATGTCACCAACTCTTACTCTCGGTGGATGTTGCCTACGTTTACGTGTAATAAACAGGGCTTGAGTTTTCTAATTGTTAATTTTTATTTTCCATTTATGGAAGAACCTCAGGATAAGATTAATATGCTCCTGTAGCACGTTTCTATTCTTCGTACTGATGAGATGGTACTGTTGATTCCTACACGGAACATCTCTCGCAAAGGAAGCTGCCAAGGATTTTGATCAACCCTACTGGGATACCAAAACGAGACATTTTAACTAAAAGGCCGTAGTGCCAGACCTTGTCAAATGCTTTGGCGATGTCAAAAGTAATCATACCCGTTGACTCCCTTCTGCTCAGGGCAGACTGTACGACTGCATTTAATTTAAGCATGTCACTCAATAATAATGGATTTCTTTAATGCAGTGTATTTTTCGCTATCAATAAACAATGTATAATCAACATAAGAAATACCATTTTATTCATTATGCAATAATTTTATTGAAATAAAGATTTACACTAACCAAAACCACTGTAACTTGTAAATCAATATCAATATGTGATGTAATTTCTACATGCATCCTTTGAAGGATTCGACTCAAGTTAATAGGTTTGTTAAAAGTGTTGATATGTATGGGTTACATCGAGAACTTATGGAGTGATGTGATGTCTTCAAATTATTAGTAACTATATTACAGATACTACAGTTACTCTTGAAGGATTCGACGCTCCGCAAATTAATAGGTTTGTTAAAAGTGTTGATATGTATGGGTTACATCGCGAACTACAAATTATTAATTTAAAGATACTATAGCCTATAGTGTTATAGTCTATAGGTTGAAGTTAATACGACTTAGTAAGACATACTGGAGTTATTGTTATTTAATATCATGTTTAATATAATTGTATAAAAGTAAATAAACATGTTTATTTAGTAATTTTATATTTAAGTTCTGCTAAAAAAATTTATACCTATTATTCTTATGCTAACTACATTAAGATATAGATGTGAATGGTAATAGTAACGTAGCAATTTAATAAGATTAAATGAGACATTTGCAGTTAGTGTACCGTGTTTTTGTTGTTTAAAATATTTATCATTTAGAAAAGATAAAAATTTTAACTCAATTCGGTATTCATTATCTTTAATGAGCTCTAATTTAATTGAACTAATTAGCACAGGAACGCAGAGTGGGAGCAGAATTTTCTGTGCTAAAACTTGGGTCGTTTATGCTTTCCTTCTTCCTGTTGCTCCTTCTTGTTTATTCGTCCTTTGTTGACGGAATGCTTTGTGTGTTCGCATTTTTGCAATTTTAGATTTTTTGGCGAACTTATATAAAAAATATTTTTAATGTGTGGCTTAGGGCAGGCAAGTGAAAGAATCAAAAGAAGCCCACTATCTTCGTACTTTTCAGTAAAGAGTCTCGACAAAGCAGAGTTCGAGAGCCACAATATTTTATTTATTCTTTTTCATCTTTTTGTTTTAACTTTTGATATAATATTTAAAATAAAAAATTGAAGCTATAAGCCTGTAAGTAGCCTAGAAATTTTAATTAAGTGTAAATTGTTTTAAATTACTGAAACAAGCAAATATGCAAATTATTCCCTTTCATCTCCCTTTCGTAATACTGCAATTAGGCAAAATAAATTTTCTTATTTACAATTATTTGAAAATCTTTTAAAAAGTTACTTTATTAATGTAACAATAGGACATTTTTTTTTAAATAAAATTAAGATTTTAAAAATGAGTATACTTCGTCTCAAGAAGCCCAGTAAAACGGTTAAAGAAGATATTCTAGATATACGATGTAAGTGCATTCCATTCTGTGTGAATCGGTTCCAAGTCCAAGATACTTTTATTCAAATATTCTGACATTTAATGATTTTATAGACTTATGGGTATTATTTGCAAAAATGTTGTTATAATCTAATTTCGCGGTAATTATGTTGAGAACAAAATTTGAATATAAATTTGAAGATTGTAGTTGAGAAGGTTAGTTGTGTCCGCTAACACGATTTTTAAATTATAGCAAATTTAAAAAAAAATCAAGCATATCAATAAATGTACATAATTCATAAAATTGCGAAATAATTTTAAAACTCAAATTTAAAAATTTCTTTATAAAAAATATTTCAATATAATACATATTAATTACAAAACCAATTAAAAATAAATGTGGTGGTCCTTAATTATAAGAGTTGAGAACAATTAGTAAAGTAACCATCTGAAACCTATTTAAGAGAATGTAAGATAAAATCCTATTATACTTAAGCCCAACTTACTTGTTGATCTATTTAATTATTTGTGGTTCATACGTATCTGCCAGAAAACCCTTATTAAGCTTCTGTAATAATTAAAAGAAAATATATAAATGATAAATTTACAAATTAATTATACAATCTTACGCATTGTCCAACTGGATCACTCTCAACAATTACAAAACGAGGAACTACTAATTGAGTGGCTTCTTCACAGCATTTAAATAGTAGTCGATGTACATGAAGAGAAGCAAGCACAACACCACAGCTACTATGAATCCAATGCAGGTGGCCAGGTTATTGCATAAACTTTTCATGCAGTCGGAAAAACTACTGCGCTTGTCATCATGAATAAGAGAGGTTTTTGGGTTGTCGCTACTACGAGCCATTTGTCCTTCTTATCGATATACTGCAAATGTGTCAAACAATGTTCAAATTGCACAATAAGGATATAATTTTTTATTTGATATATGCTTTGAAGAAAACATATCTGACACTCAAAATATAAAGCTACTAGATGATTATCATTCTTAAGTAAATATATAATAATGTGTTATAACTTCGTTGTTTTTCAACCGATTTAGTTAAAATTTGAAATATAAATAAATTAAATGTTTACAAAATAAAAAAATGTCTTCTTATTATTACTTATTGAATTTGTTGTTTAAAAAAATGGGGTTAATTGAAGGTCATATTTTTCGAAATTTTTCACTGGTTTCTGAGGCCTGAAATAGGTATAAAACATTATGTTACACCATCAAAAACATAGATTGAAATAAAATAAATGGATTAAACAAAAAAAAAAATATACGTAATATATATATATATATATAGTCTAATAAGAGTAAAGAGTTTTTTAACGATAATAAACGATTTTATATGAAAATTTTGTACGAGGGTGGGTGTGGCAGTGGGTAGAAAACCATGAAAAAATTTTGGAATCTAGATAATAATGTAGGTTTTTTGGACACCAAAATTCAGCTTACTACCTATTATAGTTTTTGAGTAGTCCTGGCACATCGCTTAATGTCCCATGTTTGAGCAAAAATTTCGGGGGCTTCCAGTAGGCCAATTGGGCTTAAATTATGTTTAAAAGAAAGATCATCTCAAAAACTATATTTTAGGAAAATTTCATATCAATATCTCTACTGGTTCCGAAAATATTTTTACCGTCTAATTTTTGTTTTATCACACTGTGCGTTGGTCAAAACAGTGTTGGTCAGTAAAAAATGCGAGAATTTGCGTCTTATAGGAGCAAATTATTACAATTTAATATATTTGAAAAAAAAATGCGAGGAAGCAACATAGCCAAATTTATGTACCGCCTTATAATCGAATTCTTAAACTTTCCGATTATAAGGAAAGTTGTATATTTTGGTAAGAATTTTTAACAATCAATGTAGTTGTGTAGTGAAATTAATATAATTTTGTAGGGGAATCGTTATCGCTGCCATAAATCATCCAAAAGTATCTCCGAAGAATCAAAAATTTTAAACAAAAATTATTTATATTTGTGAAGAATATATCAGTGACGACGCGTGCCCTATCTGGAAGGGTGTGTGGCCGCTCTAAATTTTTTTTTGTACATATACAGTGGCTCACAGCTTATTTGATGCAGGCAAAAATTTTTATTTCAAAATATATGGCAAAATTAAAAAAACAAAGTATACAGAGTTATTATTTGTAGTGTTCTTATTCATTTCCAAAAACAAAAACCCGAAAATCTTTTTCCATTCTTTAGTTATGCAACAAAAACCAAAAACAAATGAAAAATTCACGTCACAGCTTAAATGATGGAGTCAAGAGTACCATTAAAATCGTCGTCATTTCAGATGGAAATAAAAATATTCTTTTTTTGCGATCATTTGTAATCATATTTTTTAAGGGAAAATACTAAAAAAATTAAAGTGCATGCATTTTATTAACCATGGTACGGGGTACATCAACTGGAAAGCGAGATTTGGCATTGGAGCATTTAAAAAAAGAAATTTCCAAACGTAATATAGCTGAAATGATAAATCTAAGCTCTTTTTTCATAAAAATTGTGTAGAAAATATGGGTCGAAAAGCTCCCAATCAAATTTTTAAAGTAAAAGAATCGAGATGGTTAGTAAACATAGTTCGAAAAATACAACAACAAACACTCTAAAGTTGGAAGACGTGGACAAAAAACAGACTTAGGAAAGACGTGTCATTTTGAAACCGTCCGCAGAATATTGGGATAATCATATTTAAATGGAAAAATAGCTCTAAGTAAGCCTTTTGTAAATTTAAAAAAAAGAATCAAAAGTTGCAGTTTGCACTTTTGATTCTTTTGTTATTATATTATTTGTTATTATATTATATATTTATATAAATTTCTCTTATGATTCCTTAAAGCTGTTTAGAACATCAATAAAGCATCGATGGCATTGTGATTCTTCTGGCATTGATGCCACTATAAGCTGCTGGGAATAAAGTATTTAATACAACAATTACATCTTAACACCGTTTATTGTGAAATAAAGATAAATAAATAAATTTTATAGAACTTGAACGCAAAATAATAAAACCACTCCCTTCAAGTCATGACGTGCCGACGCATGTAGCATAAGACGAGGATGATACACAGTATAACGACAGCGATCAGTGAAAGAACAATCCAAAAGTTCTCTCGCTTAACGGTCTGCTCCTCTTGAGTGAGCAACGAGGTTTTGTCATCGGCTTTTTTTTTTGCCATCTTGCTACCAGTCAATTGCAATTTTTTAGTAAATTTAAACAGACTTTAATTTCTAATTGAAGAATTTCTAATTGTTTAACTTTTAACCAAAATGTTTATAAATAAACGCTATGTTTACTTGATTTCCACAAATTTTCACAAAAATTAGACTGCAGATACTGTAAAGAAGAGACAGAAAAAATGCATACCACGTGTTTGGTGAGTGTCCGGCACTGGTGCACAAGTAAAAGAAACACATAGGAGGGCATTTCATGGATCATAAGGATTCAAGGCTAGGAAAGATAGGCTCTATACTGTCTTTCATTAAATAAATCGGAATTGAAGAAACACTCTAATTTGACGAAAGGGCACAATAGATCTTTTAGGTCGCAGTGTACTATCCCTTTTCTCAATAATACGAGTAATATGATATAAAATATGTTTTAAATAAATCATTGTTTAAAATAATTTTATTAAATTTTATACATATGTTTATTATTTTGTATTAGTTTGAGAAGTAGGAAATATAAATGCATAAATATAAAACGATCCACATTATATTCTAAGAAAAAGTATAATACGCTAACTCTAACATAAATAACATTTAATTTAATACATCATACCATGGTTAATGATCATGAATTGGAGATGTGAACGTTAATGAACTTATTTACTTAGTTGACCATTAGAGACGTGGGTCGTCCTTGGCCGCGTAGAGTAGCCTCCGCCAGTCAGCCCGATTAGTTGCTTTCTGGTGCCAGGTGGTAGTACCGAGCGCCCCCAAATCGTTGGTCACCTGGTCCTTCAACCGTAGATGTGGACATGCTCTACCGCGTTTTCCAACTGTTGGTACCGTATCTAATACCTTTCTAGCCGGAGCACTTTCTTCGATTCGCACGACATGACCAAACCAGCGCAGCCGCTGAATTTTTATGCGCTTAACTATGTCAATATCGCAGTATAGCTCATACAGCTCATCGTTCCACCTAATTCGATACTCGTCGCCAACGCGTAAGGGACCATAGATCTTCCGAAGAGTTTTTCTCTGGAATGCTCCTGAGAGTTGATAAATGAAAAAAAATAAAATTCTCAAATGATAAAAAACAAAAACGGTGATAAAAAACTTCCTAGGTTGATAAAGCATGTACTTGAACAAAAAACCGCTACTGAATCAAAAAGAATACTAGACAACAAATATGGAGATTCTACACTACAGTATGGAATGATTTAATAGTGGTAAATGATTTATTACTATTGTTATAGTTTTTGGAACACGAAAAAAGCTGAGCAGCTTGCTGAGAATAGAAAAGAAATGATTTGTGAAATACTTAATATTTAGACCGCAAGGTCCATTATGCTGTAAATCACAATTTTCGATCTTACTAAATTGTTCAAGCTTGAAAGGTAAGAGTATAACCCTTCAAAAGATGCGCTAGATTGCTGACATAGTTCAAATCTTATGTTATGGAAATGCGTTTACAAGAGTTTGCAGTAACATTTGCATTCGAAAAACTTGGTTTTATTAGTTGTACGTTCGTAGGAACACACTCTAGACACGAAAGAACAATTGAAACAGTGAATTCCATCAACTGAAAAATATTTTGGCCTCTGTTTTTTTGTATGTGCATGGTATAGTTATGACAAACTACCTTGAAAAAGCCAAAATAATAGCAGATTAATATAACGCAACGTTTTTGGTCTACTTAGACGGGGAACTGAAGAATATGGGAGTTTGAAAAGCAAATAATTTTTTTTCTCTACCATACTGTATCAGTTCCTTCATCTGTTAGATTCCTTCACAAGTTAGATTAGATTTGTTCTAAAAGACGTCTACTAATGCAAACATTAACATTTACTCTTGAAGGGAACTTCTATTGTGATCTTCTTTAAGTTGCAAGGAGGTGAGCTGTACTAATCATAGATTTCGAAATGGTTTCACGTGTAATACCTACTAGCAAAAATCAACGATAAAATCGCGGTAAAAATCGCGGCAAAGGTTAAACCAAAACATGCATCGCCAAGAGTACATCAACAACTCCTTTCACAATTGAGGGTAGATCCATGGAGTACGTCGATTTACGCTATTTGGGTACCTACGTTAATTCGTATAGAGGTGCTACGAAAGATGTGGATAGCAGAATATTGAAAAACATAATAGCGTTCAGTAATCTTCGTAGTGTATAGAATTTTAATGAAATATCTCCACAAACAAAAATCCATGTTTACAATGTCTGTGTGAAATCTGTCCTACTGATAGAAACTTGGTTGGTCAACAGTGAAATATTTCGTAAATTTGGCCATGTGTAGTTTCAAATATGGAACTACTTCAACAAAAATTTAAGAAGACATTAACAAACAAGTCAAGCGTCGGAAATATTATTGACTTGGCCAGACCTCAATGGAACCCTCAAGGCTACAGACACAGAGGAAGACAATGTAACACCTACAGAAGAAACAACAAAATGCGATAACAAAGATTAAACAATTTTTAGAAATTTTGCAAAATTTAAATACATTGATGAATATTACTAAATAAGTCAAAATAACAGATTGCCTAAGATCAGGTGAATACTTAGAAAGTACGAATTATATAATAAATAATAATAATAAAATAACAAAACAATATAATAATAAAAACAACAAGAAAGAAAAGCTGGAAAAAGTTCAAAACAAATATCTAGTCATAACATTACATAAATCATATATTGTTTTTTGCGACAGATGCCTTTTTACTTTTCAGATACATTAAAAAAGTTACATGATAGAATATAAATAACATGGAACATGATGTTCCAAGCGAAAAAGTCAGAAAGATTGATAGTCGAAAATCATGTTTATCTATCGGTTATGAAAATTATTCTTTATCTATTTCCTCACATTCAGACTTGCATGCAGGTTAAACCATAGACATGTTAGTAGAGCATGGTAATCTTAAGACTTCAGTCTTACGTCTGACAATTTTGTTTAAGTGGGTTTCTGTATCTCGATTGTTCTGCTTATAGTAAATTAACTGGATATATGTGTTCATTTGCCTTTGTTTTAATTTTTTCATTAGTAATTAATTTAAGATACTGTCTTAATCATACAATAAAACATTTAAGTACTTACTTGCTTAATGCTGTCCTTCTCTTTTAGTCTCAACGATTCCTCTAAATTTTACTTTGTTCACTGCTTCTCTCGTAATTTGATTCCAGAAGCTCTGTGCGTCTTTAAACTCTTGGTCCACGGTTCTTCGCTATGTCTTAGCTGGTGCTCTAGGTTAGCGGCTATCTTATGGATTCCAACGTAGGGCTTATTTCGCTATACAAGGTGCTGGTTTTCTAAGCGTATGGCCAATCCACTTCAATTTTCTTCTTTTGATTTCAGTGGCAGCTTGTATTTGTTCCGTTGGTATTGGATATGCGCTTCAGTCACCACATTTTCAGTATTCTTCTTAAGGATTTGTTTATAAATGTATGACTGAATATAAAAGCCGTATTTTTCCACGTTTCAAATCCATAAAATAAGGTTTATTTGACGTTCGAGTTAAATATTCGAAGCTTGGTACGGGTAATTATTTTGTTAGACTTTCGCACATTGTTTAACTGCTGGAATGTTGACTTAACTTTAATCAGCGGAGCTGAGAGGTCTTCATCAGCTCCATTTTTATCCGTGAGAATGCTGTCTATATATAAATTATAATTCTACGAGTTCAACTGCATCATTATCAATTCTGTTGGAGCCGCTGCACATTACTTTTATTTTTTCATGGTTTATGCACAGGTTAACGTTGGGTGCACAGGAACTAAGTGTGCCAAATTTGTTTTGTAACACAAAACTTTTACGACTTAAAAGTCAGACATCTTTTGCTATTCAATATCGCCAAGTTTGCTAAAAAGGTTCCATTGTATTCCGGTGCTATAGTTTCGTAGCGAACGCATGATGTCGTCCAATGCCAATATAAAAAGTTTTGAGAATAGTATGCAACTTTGCCTTACGCCTGTATTGACCCCAAAGGGTTTGGCTAGCATTCCACTATGTCTAACACTACAATAGAATTCGTTACACAATGTTTTGATGATGTTTAAAAGACAATAAAAGTTGCGTGCACTGACCTTCTAAACTTATTACATTGCCCGAAAATAATGCGGATAGTGTTAGTTAGATCAACACAGGCACGATTTGGTCGAAAACCGTGTTGATTTTTTCGAACTCAATTAGTTTGAAACAACTAAAGTAATGATAACAAGAAGTTAATCCAAATTCAAACATGAATATAATTTGAATATTTATGTGCACTGGTGTAGAATTTGTCTACAAAATGAATTAACCTTATAAAAGCTAAGAGCTAAATTTTCTATATTGTTTAAAGAGAGAGGTCTAAGAGCGATCAAATACTTTTCGTATTTATAACAAGAACCGCTACATTGCAAATTGTGATGATGTCTTATCAGTTTACCATATATATGAAGTAAAATTCTTAAAAACGATATTGTAAATATTTCTTATCAATCACACATACAATACAATATACATATTATTATTTTCTTTAATAGACTCTTTACGATCTCCCAAATATTTATGCCACTTTAAGACGGAACAAACTGTTTACACTCTGTGAGAACATTAAATTAATATTGAACTAATTTATATATAATATTTTGGTTTTTAAATATTCTGTACCTAATTTAATACTTGGAGATAACACTTTACTTTGCATTTTCATTTTAAACTCAATTTTAAAGATAATGAAGACTAGATAATGGATACGCATTACATATTCAATAAATATTTTTTTAGATCTTTGTAATTATATATTATTATTATTTCAGTAGTGATATCGGGTAAAAAAGATTATTTAAATTTCAAATATAGATATATACTCCTACCAATAATTTAAATTCTGATGTTAACTAGTGTAAAATTTGGTAAACAAAATTTTTTTGGACCTTTTTGTTTTTAAATTCTGTGGTTTTCATAGTGTTATAAATGAACAAAATATAAAATCGTGAAAAGTTGCATTTATAAAAATATTGATTGGATATATCCACAATAAAGTTGAGTCGTCAAAAATGTACCATTTTTTGAACATGGGTACCAAACGAAAAAAAAAGTACCAATTTTGGTACTAAAGTACCATAAGTGGCAACCGTGCCTAAAAGATAAATTTCCGATGCTGTTAAAAGAGGGTTGCGTGTGAGCGATGAAATAAGTTGTGAAGAGGGATCAAGAGTTTCTATGTGAAAGAAATCCCTACAGGCAGTATTATAAATTTCAGGTGTGATCTATATTTCAATATTAATTATTCAATATAAGCAACTGCAATGAATCAGATTGAAATTATTTCTTAACGTGTAAAACACTTATATGCCTGCATAAAGATGTAGTGTCCATAGCCGACAATTCAATTAAGTGAGTTCATTAATCTATTCAGTCGCTATTAGAACTTTATGTGGTTAGTATGGCTTTGATTTTCTTAAAGGTTTTTCTGTATGTCATAATACCATCTCTGGTTGTTAGTGATTGCAGTGTTCGCACAGGAAATGGTGTAATTTTATTTAAAGATTTCGGATTTAAAAAAATATATATAAAAGATGTTTCAGAGATTAAAGCCAAACATAACGAATCTATCCAATTCTTTTGTAATGGGCAAATTGATATAACTCAGTTGAGTAAAATATGTATTTACTTTACATAAAGATTTTCTAAAGATATTATGTATTTAAAAATGATTTCTAATACATATCTAATATGAGTTCTTTATTTTTTTAGCTCTTGCCAAAAATCTGACAAAGATCTGACGAAGCTTGTTTACACTGCTAAATTGTTTTGTAATTTGAATACATTTCAATTAATTCAAAATGAAACTATCACACTTGAACCTTTATGTGATTTTAGGATATCCTGTTCCAAACTAAATGGATTGAAATTGTATGAAAGTGGACAAAAATTACCCAATTGTGATAAATACATGTCAATAGGAATTGGAGTGTCTATTTCTGAATTCAAGGAAGTTTCAGGAGCAATATGTTACGACTGGGAAAATCTGACGCTTAAGTATATAAGTTACTTAACTTCAAACTCTAACAATAATTTAAACATATTTGACAAATATGTATGTTAATATTATTAATAAGTTTTTCTTATATGTTATTATGCTGTTTCATCCACTAATTATAAATTTGTGTTAATAGCAACGTACGGAAAGGCTTGATACGGTCACATTAGATAAACTTCTTGACAACTATGAGCTTTACTTTAACATCATGAGGTAAAACAATATTATAAATTCTTAAGTCCTATATAATAATATAGTCTCTGTCTTTTAAAGTACACAATCTTTTCAAGCGCAATTGAATGATATCAAGTTAAGAAATTCAATACTTGATGGAGTGGAGTTCGACTATTCGAATATTGCAGATGCTTCCAAATTTTCTGCTCATGACAATATTTTAAAAATCGTATGGTGGAAAAATCTACGGTTTGGAAACTGGAGACGATACCTGGAAATATTAAAACAGCGTGCAAAATCGGTTCAATACTTGGTCTATCTTGGTACTGCCGGTATCATAAGTATTCCTAAAGAAAATCACATTCAAAATCAAACTTTGCTTAATGCTCCTGAGTACATTTGGTCATATTTGATATCAACAAATCCTAACCAGACTTCAGAACAGCTTGTAATAGTAGGCTACAACTCTCCATTTGCAAAAGTAAGCCCACCATTGCCTGTTTCACACGAGAATACATGAAAGTAAACATATATTTTTTAATTTTTAGTTAAATGCAGAGAATAGTCCAATATTTTGTCAAGATATTTGTGACGAAGTTTCTTGGATTAATTCAACAACATTTCGCGATTTGCGTCTAATTGCAAGTCAAGGTGTGACTTTCTGCTGTCGTCCTGAAGAAGTTTTAAAAAAATTTGACTCTTTCCCAATGATTGTAAATCGACAAATTTCAACAACTGCTACGCCCATTAATGAGCAAAAATGATCTTATTAATGTATGACAGTTCAAACCCAACAGAAGAGCAAATATTATATTCAACATAATTGAACTTTTTACAAATAAACAATAATAATACATATTACAAATAAATTACAAGTCCTAAATAATTTTTATTAACATAAGGTGATATATAATTTACTTAAGCAATAATAAGTTACTCAAAACTTTGAATAGTCTTTGGAATCCACTTTAGTGTATACCATTCTTTAGATCTCCTTAATAAATAGCGAAAAAAAAAATTGCCAGAAAATGTTATTTATTACATACATTATAGAAAAACATTCCAATGTTTAGAAAATGGGTGAAAAAATATCAATAATAGGTGTACGACTTTGTAATGATAGTTTAAAAACTTATACTTTTCTTTTTCTACTCAAATTTCTTTAGAGGTCAGCAAGCTTGCCAGGCAATACTGAGCCAGTAAGACAATTGTACTGGACAGAGTGGGGCGAAAATGACTATACAGTTTTGCTATTTGTTCCAGATTGTAGATGGGCACTGTCATATCTTAATTTTTGTTTAAAATTTCTGTTGTTCGATATCTTCAGGCTTCCATTTTAGTGAAATGAAAATATTCAGTCTGGTGCCTACATCTAGTGAAATCGATAACATATGTTGGCTTCATCTGTCATCAGAAATGTTTTTATGATCAGGTACGCAATTTACTGATTGCAATGTCAACGAATGCTAATAATGTCAATGTATTACTCAATATTAGATTTAAGGGGGATCTTTGTATTAGTTTTTCTTCTTCTGTTGATGGTAGCTGGTAATTGAATTTCGTGGTTATCAATTCTGACGATAGGTCAGCATGACTTTTCGGATGCCATTTTTGGGGTTAAAGTAAGCCTGCAGATCATTAATAAGCCAGGGTCATCTGTACTGTTTGATCTGCACAGATCAATTGTGTAAACATTTAGTATTCTTTATATTGCCTTTGTATTAATAGGATGTTATATTTATAATATCTTTTAGTCTATGAGAATAACTCTTTCTGCGACTTATGCAATAATTTGGCCGTCAGTTTTGTGGGAATAAATGTGTACATCCCGGGTTTAAAAATAAATACTTTCGTGGCGTATTCTAACATGGGATATATTTTGATAGACCGATTAAAAAATTATCAACATTACGTTATAAACAAATGCTTAAAACGAATACTATAAGTATGGTGGCCGAAACGTATATCCAATAACTATCTATGGGAAGGAACTAAAAAAAAAAATTGTTTTTTAAATACTTATAAATTTATTTATTGCATCTGTGAGACTAACAATAAGTTTTAAAATCTTATCACTAATTACATAATATTTAAAATTTTTATTTTAACTATACATTGTGTAAAATAAAATAAAATAAGTAAACCTTATATCACAAATCCCACTTAGATTAATGGGTTAAATTTCATTGGAGTTAATGGTAGATGGTTTCTTAAGAAAATGGTTCAACTTTATCAGATTACTTAAAAGCAAGACGTGGTTTTTACTTCAAGCTATTGACTATTAATTAATGGCAGGACAGTCAGCTCTTTTTAGGCGGAAATTAGTGGGTAGAAGTGCGAGTTTTCTTGCTAGGAGACTAACTTGTTCTGTCAGCCTTTTATTGTATTTCTTATATTGTCAAACTCAGTTTTAACTAGGGGAATTTGTAAATCTCGGTGGATACTTTCAATCCTAACATACCATGGGGCACTAGTGATTGTATCTTTTTGACTGAGCTCTTTGGATAATTTCAATATTTGAAGCACTAGCATTGCCAAATAGCTGGATACCATAAGTCCATATTGGTGTTATGATGCTGTTATACAAGAGTACTTTATACTCTAGGCAAAGGGAAGATCTGCTATTAATATAAAAAATAAAACGGAAGTTAATTAACCACAGGCTTAGGAAATCTGCATCTTGTATAATAAAACAAGTCTTACCAGTAGTTGAAGCTCCAGCTAAGACATGGACCAGGAATTCAGTACTCCTGGAATGAAATTACGAGAGAAGTAGGAAAAGATTAATAGAAACCGTTGAGACCCTACTCTGAACTAGAAAAGAAGAACAGCAGAAAGTAAGTAACATTATGTTATTTATAGTCAAATCAGATTTTATATATTGGATTTGGACTAAACTTCATTGTTGAGTTTGAAAATTTTTTTTCACTTTTGTTTGATGAACGCGTCAGCCTCAAGTTTTGGGGATGATACTCTGATGTTTTTACGTATCCAGCTCATTTTCTTAATGATTTGTTTCGACAAGTGGAAGTTGTTATGATATTTAAATTGTCGCTAAAGTGTGGTTAAGATTTTTGTTTCGGTATCTCTTTCAAGAAGAAGAAGAGTGAGTTTATAAGTTTTAATAGTAGTAACGTGATGTGAAGTACAAAAAAGGTGCAACTTATTTTATAATAAAATATAATATATAGTATAAACAATGAAATTTAAGTATTTTGGTGCTTTGATTAAAAATCCAAATACGATTAGGCAAATGATCACATATTTTTAAGGTTATTAAAGGAGTTTAGGACAACTATGCATCGGAGATTAATACGATTTTAAAAGTTTGGTTTAAGAAAGAAATGCTTATTGCTATGCAGCGAGTTTTCTATTTCGAGTTTGCTGTTTTCTACTAAATAAAATATGTGTTTTATTTTTAATGCTAAAATAGGCACACATACACTAAGAGTAAAACACATCTAATGTCTCTGGCACTGAACACATATAGTCAGTATTTTTTATTCAGTTTAATGTTGTGAAATATTGTAATTTAGACTTATTCAGACATTGCTTACATGTCCACTCCCAATATCGTATTTGTTAAATTATTAGATTATCCAGTAAAATATTTATGGAATAATAAAATATGATTATTAATAGACGCATTGTTTTCGACAAGGACACGGACATATTCGAACGAACATAAAACAACTGAGCATGCATGTTTTGCATCTCAAATAAGCGTTTATTGGTTTTTGTGTCCTTTTAGGACAAGTGGCATTATCCTAATAATTCATTTAAATTGTTTGGAGTTTGGTGAAACGCACTTCCAAATATTGAAGTGTATTAGGTATTAACTTAAAGGGTTACTTAATTAATTAATCAGTTGCGGTTCAAACGCAACTGATTAATCATTCAAACGCATGATTACAATATTTGAATGAACTGAATTTATTAAATCATACTACCAGAATATATATTTCAATATCTAATTTGAACTCTTTTTGTTATTTGTCGAATTGATCATATTGTATATTTATGGAATTTTTGAAGTCGGGACACCTGTTCTTATTATTTCTGTAAAAGCATCAACAGCCATAGTGTTAGAGTTTTACCCACTAAAACCATCTCTTAAGAATGAATGGAGAAGATTTCCACGGCAATGTGGAAACTTCATTCCAGTAATCAGGGGAGAGAGATATCAACAGATGGCTTAGTTCCTAGGGAACTATGTTCATATCAGTCAGAAAGTATGGGCATGGAGTAGGTAGATTGGAAGCAGGTGAAGGGGATGAGATTATAGAAATAATAGAACTTATGTAATAGAAATTGGATTAGCGGTACATTCTGTGATCAGGGTCACTAGAGCCGCGGTTGTAGAAAGGGCTGATGGCGGCATCAGACACTGGGGAGATTTGTAACGCCAGGTTTGAACGAGGTAAATGGGAAGGATCCTGGGGGTTGAGTCGTCGGGAAGGAAGAGGGGAGATTGTACTTGTCAACCATTGGTCTTGCGGTTGTTGTTTGTACAATCACGTAAGAGCTTACGCTTGGAGAGATGGATTCTTTTCGTCTACGCGGAAGGGATTGCAGACAGCAATAGCTGCGTATATACAGCAATAGCTGCGTATATACTTCATATATATGCTTTATATATGTCTTCTTCATATTAAGAAACGATAAAAATATAAGAAACATAATTTGGATATTAAATAAAGAAATTTAATGAAGAATCAAGTAGAAGTAAATATTCAAATAGTGAGTATTAAAGTTAATACGACTGCAATTAGTATTAATCTTAGTGGATATGAAGATTACTTGAGATGACGTCATTTAAGTACAATATAATATTATAGATACATTAGAGCTACGCGTGAGAAAATAAGTCCTCGTTAAGTTTGAGTAGTGTAATTTTTTAAGAAACTGGAAATATTTGCTACAAAATTGTCTGCCAATTCGTTTTAACAATAAGAAGCTACTGATGGTCATATTTTGGTCCAAGCACTTACTTACTAACATGTTCTTATTTAATTGGTAGATAAAGTATGAGCCAGGCAATTATGGATATTTAATGAAATTTTTATTGCTCAGGCGACAGCTTAATTTTTACCTACGCAATTATCTAATATTATTGCTTTTAGTATTAAGGTCTTTAAATAGCAATTGATCTAGTTTGAGTTAGTGTCAATCAGTGCATCCACTATATTTTATTGGTGGACCGACTAGCACGTCACTGGGGATGTTAAATGACTATGATGTATATGACAGTTTAGTAATTGATTTATTTGTTATTACACAAAGTGACGAATTTGCTCCGCACTTTAAATTGCTCCAGTGTTGTATTAAAGTGGTTATAAATTTCCTGGACGATGCTTTGTCTCTTTTAAATTTTTTAACAGTAATCAGAATCAGACGAAAGTAATAAGAAATTTGTCATATTTTATTTAAGGAATAATTAAAACTGTTAAATATGTAAAACAAACTTCAGCGATGTCAAAGGACGTCTTCACAATTTCGCCGTTCGTACAGAGTTCTGACAGCTCGTTACGGCATTCATGGAAAGTAAAGATTAACGTGATTTCGTGTTACTCTCGTCAAAACAAGACAATTACATACGAGTATAAAGTATTTTAATTGCTATTTCACATGAGTTCCCTTTAGCGTTTCATGTGAAAATTTTAGTAGCGAATCTGTTAATTTTATCTATGGCAGACAGCTATAAAAGCATATTAAAATCATATTTATAAAAGTAGATATGAAAGAGTAATGCACCAACTGTCTGCATTGCGTATTCCAAAAGGAACTGCAGCGCTGCGTCTGCTCAACGTGCCTGTTTTTCACATACAAAACACTTGTAATGATGAGGAACAAAAGCGGAAACGGAGGAAGTTT